CCAGTACATCCCTTACAAGTGAAAAATTCTCTCGGGCTGAAAGATGAGGCACTACGCTACACATTTTGTACAGTTACTCTGCTAATAGGATCCATGTCACCAGCAAAAGACAGCGCAGTCTGCCTAGTTTGTAAACGTTGAGCAATTCACATCATAACTGGACCAACCGGATTTTAGGTTTCTCTCCACAATGAATTTCACTGCAGAGGATGGTCAGGAAAAGAGGATGGTGGAAGCAACAAGTGCAGCCACCAATTCTCCTTTATCCCATAATTTTTTTTAACATTGCTCAAGACTTATGCCTGATTTAGATAGCTACAATTCTCCAGACCTAAGCAGACACACAAATATTCAGACACAGAGGTAACATTAAAGACCTGGCAAATGAAAGACTAGACAGCGTAGCGGAGTGAAACCTGAATGCCAGGCCAAGACTTGCTCACTTCTTCATTTTGTCTCATGAAAGACAAGCCCAGACTCCACTCACACCCCAGGGAAAATAGCAGTGGGGACACTGTCTAACTTCTCCTGTGAATAAATTCTCTCACTCCCTGGTAGAAGGCTTCTTTTTTGGCACAGGGGGTTAATCTGCAACTCCTCACCATGCCAGTATGGGTGATTGTAGGTTAGGTTGGTGACCTGCGAGAACATAATAACTGCCTTTATCCTCTCATTGTTGCCTTGAAGGATTTTTTTAGCTCACAGATCAACAACCCAGACACACTGGGTAGCATAGCTTCTAAAGAAATTCCTCATGACTGAGCTCCTAACAATACACCCAAATGCCACAAAAAGTCAGTAAACACTCTGAAGACTCAAGTGCACATTCTAGACAGCAATACTGGGAACTTCTGGTTTTAGTATCCACTACAAAAAGTCCTAAAATGTCAGCACATTTCAAAGATTTTACATATTTTTTTTAGTCTCTGGCTCACAAAATCTCTGATTTAAAAAAAAAAAAATAGGGAGAGAGAGAGATAAAACAAGACCCATCTCTTACACATTACATCTATTTCCTAATAATAGCCCATGCTCACACCAAAATCCATGAAAGAAGGCTTAGGAGCCTTCTGCTAGAGCTCTCTTACAAATTTGCTCCCTTGCAGCTTCCTTCTGGACTGAAATTTGCTGCCTGGGAACAACCCATGAAGACTGCTTCCGAGGCTCAAGGAACAGAACAACTCACTGGTGATGCGCAAGGAGCAAACACCTTGGTTTATGGCCAACTTCTATGTAGCCTTCTGTCAAACCTAGCAGTGTGAACACCTTAGAGCAGTAAACTCCTCTGTTCCGCTGAACAGCACTTGGCACAATGGAGCCCCAAATGATGACGAGAGGTCCTGGGCACCACAGAATACAGGAGTTTAGCCTGAGTTTTATATATCTAAAAAGACAAATGGAACTAGAAAGGATGAGGAAGATTTAACCCAGAAGTTTTTGCTTCTATGACAGGAAGGTTCTGTGTGTTATATTGTTTGATGATGTCACTGACAGATGAGAAAGTTATCTTCAGAATATAGAAATGCATTTTGTAACAAGTTCAAATTAAATGGAACTGTGATTTCTCCACATGTACAAAGACTAATGAAATTTTCACTAACGCTCAATGAAAATAAAAAATGTCACCAATGAAACAACAAATCTGTTAAAGTAACAAGCTTAGAAAGCAGAGAAGATAAATATACTTGGATAATAGATCTTCCAGAGTGCACAGCAGAGCAGGGGGCACAATCAAACAGCCAGTACAGCTACTATGAATTCAACCAAAGCAGCTCAGAACAAATTAAGTATCTTCAAAAAAGTAGATCTGATATAGAGAAGTCATCAAAAAGATTAAAGTACAGGTATACCAGTGTGGTACAGGGCAGGATAGGCATTAGACTGTGTATTTATAGTCTGATTAATGTATGAATTAAACTGTATGAAAAACTATACAACACGTAATGCTTTTAGGGAATACGAATCAGAGCCTGGAAACATTTACTCACATGAGCCATGAGTAGCAATGTTACTCACAAGTAGAAACCAGTCACACTAGTAAGGATTTAGACAGTCTGACCATTTCTACTGGAATATGGACAGTAATAACAGTGATTATTAATTTTAAAATTATTCTCATTGTAATGAAAGAAACTTATCTCTGAGCTTGTCCATGGCACCTGCTGATTCTTTAGATCATTTTTAAGTTCAAGAATACAAGTTCCCTCAGACTCCTTTGATGACATGGATTAATAGTCCAACTTCTTTTTCAAGTGACACTGACTTTCCTTTGACTTTAATAAGCATCATTATACTGCCTTAGTACAACTGAATAATATACATGCCTAATGGTTGTCCTGTGGCAATAAATTTTCTGATTTAATTTGTCATGTACATGCCCTCTTATCCTGTAATAGACATTTCTTCATTATTTAAAATAATAATACCTGTGCTTTTAATGATATTTGCTCTACTTGGCAAATACAGAATTAATTTATTCAGGAAGGTGAGCTAGCATTGACAGAGGCTCCAAGAAAGTCCAGATGGGAGAGAAAAATATTAATATAATATTATTTTGGAAAACACTGTTGATGTGCACTGCATGCTACTTGCACAGGAATACAAAAAAGACAGTCCAGGATCAAGGTTCAGGTGCTTCTGAAGCAGTAAAATTAAAGCTGGTTAGTGAAGATGTTCTGGGCATTCATGAAACAGAAAAGGCATTAGATGCAATGGCAACATCCTCTCTATCACGTTAACTTGGTCTTCCATTGATTTTAATTTTGGCATTTTGTTCTTTTAAGACATGTTGTCTAAAATTCTACTTTGCAAAACTTAACAGCAAACTAACACAGTTTGGGGATCTATGTGTGTGTTATATAAATATCTGATTAAATATAATGCTGGGCTTCTGCTACTTCATGTGAAAAAAACCATCCAGAGAAAGTATGCAAGAGTGCCAGGGATGCAGAGCTGTTTTCCCTTTTAGCTAAGAAGTTATTTAACTAAGTGCCTAGAATATCTTAACTGTGTTCTCTGTAACTGCAGGAAGAACTGAACTTATGGAGTATCTGATAGCTTTACTGAGATGTTCATATTTTATTGTGCTGACCTCTGAGGTCTGACATTGTAGGTTTATTCAGAAGGTACTAGATGTCCCAAAAGGCTGTAATTCATTTCGGGATTGGCTCCTTATGCCTAATATTTGTGTTGGTGTTTGTACAGAGTGGTTTAGTTCTTACTGATTTTACCTTCTCTTCTACACCCACTCCCCATACTTTGTCAAGTTACTTTAAAAACTTACAGCTCATTATGAGAAATGAAAAGTTGTAATGCACAGGATCAGGAAAATCCCCCCTATGTTACAATAGATACAGATCTGATCATTTTGGTAAGACCTGTATCTACAAATGCCAATTTATTATTAATATGGCAATGATGGTAGAAACTGAAGAGGTGCAGCTAGTAAACTAGCGCAGTTTTTGTTGCTACCAATGGAAGCTGAGTTTGTACAATGGAAGGCTAAATTAGAGCCGTTTCATACATTTTTCTGTTAACTGAAGAAAAATGAAGAATTAACACAGCATGTTATATAGAGGTGTGTTTTCATTTTGGTTATAACACAGGATCTAAAGCACTAAGTAAACACTATCTCAAATGTTCAAGGATTATTTTCCCATTTTGCTACCAGTCTTTGAGAGAAAAACTTTTAAAACATGTAAGTCTAGTAAGATTATATATAATTAGGACAAGTATGTCTTTCTTGAAGAGGAAAGTTGACAGCTGATTTTTCATTACTCTCACTGCAGTGAAGTGCATACATGAACTCCTCCAGCATGTAAGAGGGGCCAGCTTGAGTACTGCAGGTAATAACTTGCCCTTGTCTGTTTTATTAAAAGCTGCAAGTTAAATTTTTGAGTTAAAATGTTGAGTGTCTCTGACGCTAGAATACAGGGGAAAACCTATTCGGAATACAAGTGAAAAGTACAGGGAAAAGTACTGGAGAAATATTCTTACTAAAGTTTGTCCTTCAGTCTCTTGAACAATTATTTTCTTTTAGTATGAAGGGAAAGCCTTGAGTAAATTAGCTGCTTTCTGGTTTAATGTGCTCTAATATGAAAAAAATTATAGGCTTAAATCTTACGCAAAAGCATTCTCTTCTCCCTCAAAAGGGCTTGCTCCAAGGGTTTGTCTTCATTAGCTGTAGAGAGCAGTGACATATTATTTTTGCATTCCTGTGGGCTGCAGCAAATTGTCCCTCTTGGCTGTCATTGTTTCTTACGGAAGCAACAATGGCTTCCATTTATCACAAGCTGACACCACATGGCATGCAAAATTACGTTTCACACTGCAGCATCCAAAGAGATGGTGTAAATAAAAACCATTTACATAAACCACCTAGCAACCAGCAAAAAACTAAAAGTATAACTGGTTTGAAAAATTAAGTACCTTTTCATGAATCACAGTGATGTCTACTTCTAACCAGCAGCTCTGAAAGTATTGACTAACTTAAAAACAATCTTAGAGAATGTATACAAAAAAAAAAATCACGTGGCTGATGCTCCAGAAAAGGCAGTGAAATTTCACCACTAAAAAAAGGTTCTGATAAACATACAGTTTTCTAGAGACTTCAAACCATGGTGCAGCTGTTACTACATCAAAGAAGTATTGTGTTCCCTCCAACAATTCACTTGTGTCAGCTTATGTTTGGTGTTATTGATATTAGAATAAGCAAACGCATTGGCCTAACAGTGACTCTAGGCTCTTTTTGTTTCAGTTGCTGATGGTGGTATCAGTGTCTGCATGTTTTATGTACAGTAGGTAACCCCCCCACCTCATCTACCAAAGACCATTTCGTTGTAGGATGTAAAGGGCTCCTCCCCAGCAGGGCAGCCAACATCCATCTCAGTTGTCTGAGAAATGCCTGAACTTTTGTGTCCTCTCACAGGAATTCTGGGGTATGCCTTGGCTATTTCTTTGACGTCTGGTTTTGATAAGAGATTTTCAAAGCCTACTGTCTCCTAGGAATTCTGCAGGAAGAGACTGGGTGAGGTCATTCGGCTTTTCACTGAGTTTCCTTTCTCTGTTTTTGGCTGTTCTAGTGGACATGACCCTCTAGCACTCAGGAATACTTCTGTTCCCTTAGGAACTATCGACCACTTGCTGGTTTTATCTCTGCACACACAAAAGCTCCATGTCGCTGGAAGGGGAAACAAGGTTGACATTAACCAGGGGAACATAAGCAGCTCGTAGATGCAGCTGTGAGCTGAGTTCATTTATTAGCTCAAGTGCTGGCAAAGCTTACGCTTGTTTCTCAGCTTCTCTACTGTCCATTGGCCTAGGTCCGAATAGCTGAAGGCAATGGAATAATAGCTGGTTTGTCAGGCTATTTTATTCATGAAATGGGGCACGGCAGGAATACTTGGAAAGAAGCAACAAGTAAAAGAAAATGCATCTTATTTTCTCTGGTTCACAACCACTCTGCCTCAGAGAGTGTGTGACTTGCATACGGTTCTTCTGTACAAGACTATTCATATCAGATTTCATTTCTTGCTACATGGGTTGCTATGGATACAATTCTGAACTGCTGCTTTTGTAGGCCAGGAGATTTATGACTGCATCCCGAATGATTTTGCTCAGTCACACAAGATTTTTTTTTTAAATAAACAGAAGTGGAAACAAACATACCCTGCATTTCTCAAAATATTTTTCACAACAGAATCCTGTATTTTGGATCTTCTTGAAGTCTACCAGAGTCTGTGGATCAGTCCCCTATTTATATGAAGTTACTGATTTTTAAGAAATGCATAACCATACATACTCCTAAGAGCCAAGGCCTCACTAAAGTTAAGGGTCTGTATCAAAACAGACCCTTATGCATTAGCCCTTGTTCTCATCTTACTCATTCCAGCTTTTTCACATGTGAAGACAGTTGGGTTCAGTGAAGTCACAGCATAAACAGACCTTTTAGAAATCCAAATCATGTGATTTATGATTCAGTTATTGTTATCAAAACTACAGGAAGTCTGGGTGCTACAAATACACACAAATACAACATGGTACAAGTAAGACAAAAGAGCATACCATTAATATTAACTGCTAACGATTCTAAATCTTCTGACAACAAATCTTCATATTAAACAAACAGTCAGAAGTTCTGGGATAAACATACTCCTCTGCCTTCCTGGATGCTATTAATCATACAGGATGCACATTGTCTTACCTTTCCTCGGATGAGTTCATTAGCAGAGTCTCTGGCGTTGTACTGATGGCTAAAGGAGGTTTGTTCCTGTAAAATCTCTGGAAGACCTTTGGATGCTCTAGGAGTTGCAAGTAGAACTGAAAAACATAATATTGTTAGAGAGCACTTGTACCACATGATCTGAGGTAGCCCACACAAACACGCTATATGCTGCACAAAAGATAAGCAGTAGCTGCTTTTCTTGAACTGCTGAAGTTACTTTGCCAGTCAAGTGAAACCACAATGTTTACCACAAGGGGAAGTGGGCACAATGAGTGGGATACTCAGCTGTGCTGGCACATGGCACAGCAACGCAAGGTTTTGTTGAGGGGCAGCATTCGTGAGGTAGCTTCAGAGCAGTGCTTTTACTGGGGTCAGGACAAAGGCCACACTGGCAGATTTTGGAAAAGCATTTCAGTGTGATCATTTTTAAAATGCAGGACAGAAAAGGCTTGTCAGATCACTTGGCAGGTGCATGAATATTTCTTACAGTATCTTTCTTCTTGTTTTCCCAAGGACATTTTACCTCTTCACATTACCCATCCCCTCTGCAGGACAGTTTAGAAACTGCACCACCAATGATTCACTACCAGTTGCCACTACAGCTTTATCAGCAGTCTTCCCGGCAATTTTCCATCCATTAACACAACAGTGTTACCCTCTAAATGAACATGAATAATTTTCACTGTTAACATTTAGTGAAACACAGACTGATCCATTACACTGGACCATGACACATCTAGACACAAGAGGAAAAAAAACAAATGTCAAGCACAGTTTAAATACTCTGTATCAAATTCTCCAAAATGACCAGCAATTTTGAATTTTCAGCTTGAGACATGGCATAAGACCAGATCCACTGGTGAAGAAGTGCTCAAAGCTTTCTGAAAAGCAGGGCTGCTTAAAGCGTTTCAAGTGGGTCAGGCTGTCTCACTCATCACTGTTGAAATGTAGGCCACTGCACTTCCATTTGCACAGTTGTAACACAGCTAAGTTGTTAGAGTCACTAGGATACAAACCCCTCAAATACACCCTCAATGCAGGAGCAGAGCTGGAATAGAGTAAATTTATAGTTGGCATCCCTATGATACAACTAGCAGAATATGAACAGATGCTGACTTATTGCTATGCTGTTGCTGGACCAAGACCTGTATCTGCTGAAAGATCCCATTCTTCTTGAAAAATATATGACAATAATGATATTCCATTAATACGTTGAGAGGTATCTATTATTAAGTAACTAGACAATTATTAACTCCAAAAGAGCACATTTTCTCAAAAAAACACATAAAAGAATCGTAACTGGCCTACAACAAGCTCTCTGCTGCTGCAGCCAGACTGCTCCTAGTAACTGAACTGGCTAATTTAAGGACTTTTATTTTGGTAACATGCACTATCATACAGAAATAGTGGTCCATGGGCCCCATATAGCAGCAAAGGCCAGATCAGGTACATAAGTCTTTAAGTGTGATAACCTAAAGTCTGTTGTTAGATTAATAGCAGAGGAAACAAGATAGGCCACTGAGAAGATAGGGGAACAGAGGTCAACAGTATGAGTTCCTCAAGGTCAACATAACTGACAGCCTGTGCTTAAGTGCTTGGCTGCCAGGCATAGCAGGCTAAGAGGGAATGCCTAGCCAGACCACTAAGTGAAATCAATCTCCTGCTCTTTTCGCATATAGGTCGCCTCAATGCGGTTGTAATTAACACAGAGCAGCTTGCTAGATTAGCATATGGATAGTACTGAGAAATATACTGAAGACTGTTAATATGCTGGAAGTGGTTAATTAGTACTAACATGATTCTGAAGATAGAGCAGATCTACATTCAAGTATAGTGCTAGCAGTTTTAGGCCCATCATCATCTACTCAGCAACTCTAAAGCAATCTTGGGCAAAGATATGTAAAAGCTCACACCTTAGTTTCACTAGCTACAGAAGGGGAATAGTAATACTTACAGTTTGGAAGTGCAAACATAACTACTGAAGTTCCTACAAAAGTGCACACACATATAGATTTGTAGCTGTTCATGGAGCCCTACAAACTTGAACATACCTAGAGCTAGCTACAACTTTCAGTGCAGGAATGATACACACTTAGAATTAACACTCCTTGAATTAACACTTCTTCGCATAGAGAAGGAAGTACTTATTTTGGTAGAACTATAAATTGCCTATCTGATTCCTGATGACAGTGTTTAATAACTGAATCTATATATGCAATTGAGGAAGACCTTATAAATGAAAAATAAAATTAGGTAGAAATTCTAGTTCCCAATTTTCATACTGGAATACAGAGGTAAGAAATATATTCATATCAGCCACGGTAGTAGTTGTGTGTACAACATTGCTATCAATTCCACAGACTCCACTTTTTCTGCATGGAAAATGCCATTCTTTAGAGACAAGGTAGAAGATGAATTGCTCAAAACCACGTGTGAATAATGTCATTGTTGAAATTTTGAGTGTGCATATGGTTCACATAAAAGTAGTGAGGATTTTTTCCTCAGTATCTGCATACCTGCAGAGAAGATCAAAACTATTTTCTTACTAAATTACCCACAAAGTAAGTTTTGTTAGCTTTTGAATACATTATCTTAATACATTTCAGCACATTAGTTTTGCAAATTAATCTTCTATAAAAAGACATTAGTTCATTTCTCTCAGTGGAATTTTAGGCATCAAAAATCTATTCATAATATATTATGTAAATACTCCAGTAGAGAGCCTTAATAAGTTAATATTTCCAATAAATAACTAAAAAAACCCCCATGCACATGACTGAAAAGAAGAGAAACAAATTTGTCTCTCTGCTTTCCTTTCACAACACTGCAAGTCATCTTAGGAAGAAACATGCATCCTTGCCTTTCAGCATTCTGACATTTCACTCCATACACATACAAATCTTGCATGATGAGGACCATAAGGGTAATCAATACACATCCCCAAGACACTCCAACAATATCACTGCAAACATTTCTAGAGTGAAAATGCTAATCTAGTAATTTCCCTAAATTTAATGTGTGTGTTGAAAAGTGATTTGATATGTTCATTATTCTCAGCTAGAGGAATTAGCATTGCTGCAGTGGTTTGAATGATTCTGCCCACTGTGTCTCAGAATGGCAAAGGTTTTTTGGCTGCAGAATTAAAAGCTTGACAGTTGCTTACAATTTAGAGAGTGAAAGAATGCATTTTTTTAGAACTCTACACTGAGATTATCCAAAAGAACTGGCCTGGCTGTGACACAGAAAGAAGTCTGTGTGTCTTAACCTGCCTGTGTGTTTTTCAAATGGGGTCACACACACACCATCCACTGCAGGTTTTGTATTGCTGGTGCAGACACTTCAGGAAGGATGCAGTGATCCTTCATTGGCTGGATCATAATCAGGCAGCTTCGCTTCAGTGTCAGTGGTTCAGGGAATTGTAGATAGCTGGGGAATTTGCAGAATATTTTAAATTGGTGGTTTCTTCATATGTTAAAAATACCCTCTTCCAGCAGTCTTTAACTTATCACTTCTCTGGGGTACACACACCTCTGCTCAATGCAGCAGAAGTTAGGGTCTTGGCATGGCGGAATCTCGTTGCTGGAGTTTGAAAATTATATTAATCTACTTGTGCACCAATATGCAACTAGTTTGACACTTCACAAAAAAAGAAAAAAAAAACAAACAGATGGGTCTGGTAAGTGCAGGGCATCTCTAAAAATCTGTTCAAAGAGCTTGTATTCCAGCTGAGCAACTTAACAAAACTAGATTTAGCTGTTAAAATACCTCTAAGGACCATGGTTAAAAAGAGGGGGAATCCTTATAAGCCTCAGCAGGCAACAGCCCATGCAGCTAAGTTAGCACATAAAACAGCACCAGCTATTGTTTTATTGGATTCCTCTGGGGGGAGGGGGGTGCTGAGCAGGAAGGAATTTTTATGCATATATGCATACACAAAAGGACTATTTTTTCATCTATGTAAAGTCAAAACATACTGGAACCATAAATTACGTCCTGGATAAGTGTTCAGAGTTTATATCCTTTTAAGGAATACAGCCTAAAGTTAGCACCCCACTTCCAAGGTATAATCTTCCATCACTGTTAGATGCTGCTGCCTGATCGCAGCCAGACAACTGGCTCAACACCAAGATCACAAATGTGCCAACATATGGAAACAATTGCTTTCCTTTTGATTGGAAATGACATATTCTGGGTGTGTGCACAACATCCCCCATCAATCATCCAAAATGGTTCATTATTTGGACTTAAACTTATTATCCAATAGAAGATCCCTAGAGCCTTGTGTGAAGGGTAAGAAAGATATTTACACACCCCAGAAAGCAAAAGAGCCTCTGCACAGTGATAGCTTGTCTGAGCCACACTGTCCTGACTGGGCTCAATTCATTCTCTGTACAAGGTTGTTTCACACACCAGCACTGATGTTGCTCAAACTTAATGCAAAAGCAGCTAAATCTCGAAATTATACCTGCATAGTAAGGCTCTGCCAGCTGCTAATTGCCCCCAGGACTCCAGAAAATCTCCACACATTGGCAGTCTCAGTAAGAGAAGTGAGGGGAAAGGTTTAATAGTGAATATTTGACCATAGATTACATGCTTTGACACAAGCAACAGCCTATCTGTCTCAATGAAGCTGCAATGGCAGAAAGCCTGCAACACAAGGAAAAAAATCAAAAGTATTTTTGTTGAACCCGTGTGGCTGATCTGGAGGTAGAGAGATCGGGAAGGCAAATTCCTGCTGAGAATGCAAAGAGTTTTCTGGGCTCATACAGCAAAGGATAGTGAAGGGAAACAAAGGCAAATAACTTCCTAAAGAACTGCCAGTATAAGTGAAAAGACAGGAAAGGTCTGTTTTTCAAATCAGTAAATACTAGCAATGGTGGTACTTTTGAAGTTACTCTGGGCAGAGGCCTTATGCATCCCAGGAACAGGCCCACAAACTGAAAAGGAAATTGTAGCTCAGTGGAGGCAAACGTATATTTTTCCATTGCTTTCAATAAAGCCAGGGGGTCACATGACTGTTTGAAGTCTACCAGTGATGGGACTATTTCATGTTAATGTAAATTCTGAAATTAGTTCTTTTATGGATTATAGAAAAAGAGAGGCTTTCACATGGAGGACAAGTAGGCAGAAGCACATCCAGCTGTAATGTACAGCAGACAGAAACCATCAATGGGGCTTTTTGACTAGAGGAAGACTGTTATGATGATTAAGGTCCTATATGGGCAATCAAGAGAAATACACTCAATTCCCACCTCTGTATGACCTTCCTGCAAGAACAAACACAAGTCTCTCAAAGGCAGATTTTTCAAATGTATTTAGGCACTTGAAGATGCAGACAAGCGCCACGTAGGATTTACAAGTGCATCTGTGCAGGCTAGATGTTTACCAGCACCTGTTTGTGTCCTTTGGGTCCCCTATTTGCAAGAAGATTACAGATGTCATCTATTCAGATCACAGCCAAATTCTACCTTCAGTCGTACACCCAACATTTCCATGTAAGTGAAAGAGAGGGGTGAGCTCATATCTAAGGATGGGACTTAGCCCCAAGTAGAATAGGAAAAAGGATTTGCTGCATGACAAAAATAGGCCGAGTGCCTTGTCACATCTGACAAATGCCTCAGATGGCATAGCACAGATTTGTGGTGGTGCTATTAAAATAGATTTTATTTCCACTGAATAAACCAATTTCTTGTCACAGGTAGGTTGGTAGCTACTTTCTCACTGGCAGTGAAAATGGGTCTCAACATCACTGGGTATCAGAGAACTAACCCTTATGCTGTTTTGAGAATTCATTCCTAATGCATCCCCTCACTGCCATTTCTTGATGAGCTCTTCCAGGCTGGATTCTGCAGGCCATAGAGCTTCTCATCCACACTTATAAGAGCTGCTCAAATGAAAGGAGGAAAAAAAAAATTCCAGTCATCTACAGCACAGGTTGCCAAATCAGGCCCTTTCTTGCTAAAAGCAGGGTGTGATGATCTGCCTGGGTTTGGATGTTTTCAATCATACAAAATAAAATTAGGTAAGATCCAAACCTAACACACATTCATGAAGTCAACGGCCCCTGCTGCAGACAAGGATCTAGGTAGTAGCTCTGACTCACTGCTGCTGCCTGCTAACTAGTAGTTAATTTGTCTTCCTTTACAGTCTTTCTGCTTTTATCTTTTGTAAACAGAAAGGCCATATTAACAAATAAAACTTGAGGAACTGTGTTATAGTTGTGAACATAAACTGTGATGAGTCACACAAAACCCACAAGACAGCTGATGAGAAACCAGCTTGCTTTTCCTATAATAAAAGCTGACCACCCAGATGAAAAGACCATGGCCTCTAACTCATTTTGGTTTGAGAAACCAGAAGTGGGCAATTACATTTTTCAGCAGATACTGCTCTGGCGCAGGAGAAATATTTGTTGATCTGACTCTAGCTGGCAGACAGGCAGTTGTTGGGTGTGTACCACAGAAAGAATACTTTCATTTTTTGGCATGGTATAGCATTGCTGAAATACCAAAGACCATGGCTAATTAAGTGGAGTGATGGAACAGAATGATTTGATAAGATTTAATTAGTATGAGCATTCTCATAGACTAGTTATTGTATCTGTCTGGGAGGGCCAGACATTCAGCTGTGTTAGGCATTGCTCAACAGTAGCTGAGGCAGTAAAGAGCACAAGGGTGCCCTTTACTCGCTCTCAGTGCTGGTACTGCTCAGCAGTCGGGTCTCATGAAGCAATTTAGAGTAGATTGTACCAGTCTTCTGTGGCCCCACTCTGTTGTCAGAGTAGCTGAAAATCACCAGGATCAGTCATAACCCCTTGCCCTACCATGCCCCCACACTAACTGTTGGGGAATGGAGTTACGTGGGAACTACTACAGCAAACCTGCACTGCCCAGAGACCGTGACTGCTCAAGCTGCTTCACACCAACAGACATGGCACAGACCAGGATCCAACCATTAACCATGTAAATGCTGTTTCTTTCAGTTGATCATTTTGATTCTTTCATAATAAAGCTCATTATCTTAACTTTCTCAATGGGAAATAGTGCTTGGATAAGCCACTTGGAACTTAATAGAATGATACTTGTTCTGCCAGTTTGGCTGAAATCAGTGAAACAGGTTCGCCCCAGTATTCTTCCTCTGTCCCTCCATGGAAGCTTTCCACAAGTCTCCCTTTTGGGGCTCCAGACTGTACTAAAGTGGTAGTGCTGCAGTCTCCAGGGGTAGAAACAAAGTCTATTTAAGGGCTCCCACAAGGCCAAAAATCACTGATCAAAGCCATGGAGCAATGACCAGGGTCATATTAGGACCAGTGAACTGGTATTGCCAAGGGGAAGGGCTTGCATTTCAGAGTATTATCCTTCCTTGGACATGGATGGATGATCGCAGCATTCTGTTACAGGCCACTTCCATCTGCCTTGACGCATGGCCAACATCAAAGAGGCAAGAGAGCCAAGATCTTTCCTAGAAGAGCCTGAAAGATTTCTGCCACAAGGGTACATATAATTTCTGTTCAGCACATGTTTAGGTCACTAAGTCAGGCAAAATGACACATAGAAGAGTATCACAGGCTTCAGCATCCTTCAGGTAAAGGTAGACATACCCAGAACACTCAAGTGCCATTCTAAATTTCAGCAGTCATCTCTGCAACAGCTATAACTTTGCTGCAGATAGAATGAGAAAACTGAAAGTAATTCCCTAATTGTCTCTTTCACCTTTTTCCTCAGTGTTTAGCAAAAGCTGTCATGGTTCCAAATGTGGCTTTTTATTTTCCACTATGCAAACTTAGCTATACACAGTAAATCTTAAAACATTGTTTCATAACTCACTCACATTTGGCTATGGATTCAATGCAAAATGGTCTACACAATTAAAAAGAACTTGTAGCAGTTAGTTTATAACAACTGCCATTTGATCTCTTAACACCAAGTGATACTGTATATATCAAAAACTATGCGTATGATTTAACTATTATATCTGACTTTCACTCCTATATGCTAACACTTGGACAGAGACCCCCTGAAGAGTCAAGAGTACCGATTTGCTGGAAGATTTGTGCCTATCTGTATCATGACATTTTTTTCTATGTTCTCCTCCGCTAGCACAGAAAAAAGCCAACAACTGCCATTCTCTTTCCCCTCCCACCTTAGAAGAAAGAAAGCCAGCACATGCTAGTTCTAACTGTAATGTAAAATAAACAATTTTCTTTGAATGCCATTGCCCTCCTTTTGCTGCCAGAGACCTTGGGAGCTCCAAAATCTGCCCGACCAGCATCACGTTTGCTTCTGGCTTTGTGGTGTCTTGCAGAATAAAATTGCTTCATCAATTACTAAAGAGAAAGAGCCCTGAGCAAGCAGCCCCTCCCCTCCTTAAACCAGGTCAGACAAGAAATCGTCCCTCTGTTCAAGGAAACATCTCCCCTTCTTCCTCTCTCTTTTAATTACTGTAATTGTCAAGTTTTTTGGGGAAGGATCTTAGCACTGCATAATCTCTGCTCTATTTCCTTCACATCTTAAATTGCTCTGAAATTGCCAACTAGGGAGCCCCTCTCTCCAGACTTGAAAATCTAAGCTTCCTATTAGCCCACAGAAACAGAGCATCTCAGAGCATCAGAGTAGTATATTTCAAGTGTATCAGGCTCTGATAATTGAGAAAATACACTGGGTTCTTAAACAGAGTATAATCTGTAACATTTCAATGTGTTCTCTGGCACTAAAATAGTAAACCATATGACAAGTTTTTTTAGTTGAAGACAATGCAGTTCAGCCATAACACTCTGGTCTTCAAGAGTGCTGTTACATGCTTGCCACGCTGCTCTCTTGGGATATCCTTTGGTGACAGCGCCAGTCTCTTGTGATCCTCCTGGCATAGTCAGTGAGGATGTTGGCTCGTCAACCAGTTGCCTCAGCATAAATATGCATGGAGTTAAGAAACGCAGAATTGCAGCTGCTCTCCAGCAAATTCTTCTTATAAAAATAAGTGATGAAAATCACAGCAGCAGCAGCAGTTTGAGCTGACTTGCTGATAATACAGTGCTACCAAGTACATATAAAGGGACACATTTAACCAGTACTGATCTTCCAGCTAGTCAGCTCACCTGTTACAGATATGCTTTTAGATGAGTCTCCCCCCTTCACAGAAGTCTGATTTTACGGAAGACTTAGATCCCCAAATGCCCTACTTGCAGAGAATAAAACGCCAGTCATTATGCTGACAAAACATTAGCAAGAGGGAGAGAGCTTGTCTGAGCAGTTTTTTAAAAATTGGTCTAGACTTGCTCTCATTCATTTGCTTTAGAGATGGCTGGGAAAATGACAAGAGAATGTATGCTGCCTGCCTTGAGCCCTGGTGAGACAGCCTTGTGTTAGTTTGTGCTGCAAAGTGCAGTGCAGCAGCTAGAAGCAAGCACTCAGGTAGGAGGACATTCAGTCAGCTAAAGCAGATGCTGCAAACAACTGTCCTCTGACAGCAGAATTCAGTCAAGCTCTCTCAAAAATAGTTTCTGGTATGTATACATTAAGAATAGCTGAAGGAAGGTTCTTACAATCTCACAGCCTCCAGAGGCATATTTTTAAAATAGAAGTATTTTCTCATGGGATAACTCAAAAAGGGTTGTTTTTTACACGCCAGAGGAACAGTTGTTGCTAATACAGAGTTATTTAAAAGGTGAACTCTGCTAGCAGAGGCATTCAGCTTTATAGCCATTTACTCAGGACACCAGAAATTCAGAAGGAAACACCTCGAGTGATATTAGTAGGGCAACTCTTTACACATACAGTTATAAGGAGACAAAAATCATATCTGCAGATAGGTGCTCCCCATAAAGTGTAGTTTGAAAAAAGTACATTATTTGCTATTTCTGAATATAGACAAAACCAAAAAATACAATTTATAAATCTGCTGGCAGATAACAACTATTTGACAGTGTAGACAGTGCAATCCAGTCAGGTAACATTATCTAATACTGGAGAAAAACTTTGAGGGTTCTCACCTATTCCACATGAAGGCTGTTGCTGACTGAACGCAGCTGGCGAAATCAACTCAGACTGGTTTCTGAAGATCAGTTCTTTGGGTGCTCTATAATTCGGTGGAGTATAACGATACATGTGGGACTCCTCAGCTGGCCACCAATGATGATGCTTTAAAATCAGAAGAAGATAAAATTCCATGGATACAGCTGAACACAAAGCTGTTGTTATTACAGTGTTTGTAAAGTGTCTCCTCAGAACACTATCCACTACACCACCACCCTGCTGATACTGCTAAGCCCATTCTGACAGCTAATTCTAGCCTTCTGAGGAAATAAATTCTGTGGCTACATGAAGTCCCAAACTCATTTTAAATCTTAATTATGGGTTGCTGTAAGGTTGATGGTCTCATTCAGACATTTAATTTTTTTTTTTACCATGGTTATTTCATGCCACATACATATCTACTATAATACTGAAAAACGTAGCACAAATTGCTGCTACCTGTTCTGCCTTGGTGTCTTTTGCTCCCATATAGTGTATTGGCTCATTTAGCAACCTTACACTGGAGCTAATTAATCTTGTGTAGTGTGGTTCGGGATTATTGCGCCACTGGTGAACATGAGCAGTGTTTACTTGGGAGAGATATAAAGTCTCTGTTGACAATTCTTGTGCACAGTTCTGGCACACCAATATTAAATATTCCATAAGTATTTGGGCTGAAAGACAAAAGCAGACAAGGAAGAAATTTTTACACCAATACATGTACTCTACTCATTGATAATAATTAACTATGTTTACACCAAGCAAATGAAAAAATGTATTGGTGAAGAAGTCAGTAGGTCCTAGATTACATTATTCACTGCTCTGAAACAAGAACAAGGTTTCATGCAGTTATTCTGGTATAATTTGGGTTTAAGCCTCAGCAAAAGCCAAAAATTAGATTCTGTTCTCATTCACACTAATTTTGTTCCAGTTAATCCTGAATCATACCAGGAAAATGAAGGTCAGGTTGTACAAATAGTTGCAGTGAAAGTGTTAATGTCTTGGTTCTTCTAAATTAAGAATATGACTCATTCACATCTACTGTTTCATCCTGAAGGCTCAAAACTGATCCAAATTCCTGGACTGGATTGCCTATTTTTGAGATTTTTAAACACTGTTCAGTCGTTTAGTCCTGATTTAATTCTGTGGGTTTTTTTTTGATCTGGCCACAGTACCAGCTCTCTCAAGTGATAATGACTTGCTAACAGATAATTTCAAAGGTTTTGACCATCCTTATCAGCTGCTTTGGACACTCATCAGCTGAGGTCTCTACTGCCTCATCAAATATCGTTTCTCTGATTCTGCGGTTTCTTTCAACTTATCTTAGTAATCTTTCCCAGAATCCCTCATGAAGTCAGAAATTACTCTTCCCAGATACTCTTAGTCTCCTACTCCTTTTTCTTTGCACTGCCCCATAATGACATCTCTGATCATACTATTTACACATTAATAATATGCAGTGACCATTGTCTTTTCCATCCTCTGCTCTGTAGTCTATCATTTTGATCTGACCCTCCTTTTCAATAGAAACCAATTAGAAGCAATTAAGTACTTAAGTTACAAAAGGAAATGGTTCTCTATTACAAAACATTCACCCAGCTAGTTCAGTCATTTCAAGGAAATAGTGAACTGTATTTTTATTAGTGATAAACAGAATAGAACCGATACTGAAATATATAGTTAATGTTAAAAAAAAAAGAAATGCTCTCCATAAAAACCAAACACTTTTTTCTGATAAGAAAGGTCTTATGTATGCTGTAAGTTGAAGTCATAGACAAGAAATCAACTTCACAGACCAACATGTCAGTTTCTCATCTCAGAATATTCAGCTGATGAAGAGCCAATAAAAATTCATGTTGTTAAGTTTCCAACAGCACACGTTCATACTGAAACAAAGTAATTGTTAGTCTTACTGCTGTGCCTGGAGGATTGTCATATAAACTGGGCCCTATGTCACCCAGTATGCAAATACATGGTGGAAAGCCAGTATTTCACCTAAAAATCTCATCTAGCTCTCAAAGAAGTAATTTCTTCCATTGTCTTTGATGGAAGAAGGGGATCAGCTCTCTGAAAAGTTTCCAGTCTAGTTTTACATACCGACTCAATTTACAAATAAACATCTTTTAACAGATTTTATTGGACTCAGCAAAGATCACATTTCCTTTAGCAACTTTCTGACATGTAGCTACAGCAATGTGTGTCAGTTCAGGGTTGCTTATCAGGCACTTTAAGTTAGCCATGCTTGTACCTATTTATACTTACATATACTCTTTTAGGGCCTCAGGAACATAGTGTTGATAGGACATCCTGATCATTCAAACAATGATTCAAAAAATTGCTATTGCACGCAACTCTGCTATATGATCCCTTTCATGTATTCACTAACTCTATCTTAATAATAATTCAGGTTTTGCCCATTACTCCCACTCTTGTCATGCCAGAGCCTCACTGCTCAGAAAGTTAAAAGCCACCTCATTTTCAGAGTGATCAATTTCTTGGGCCAATAAAGGTCCAGTCATTCTTATCCAAGTATTATCCAGCTGAAATTGGTTGTTCTTTCTGCTGTGACCCTGAGTGCTTACCCCTATAGTATGAGCAGAAATACCAATGACATTCTCTAATACTTTTGTTTCTTTCTGAACAGTTTTTAAAAAAAGACAGGTTCTCTCCTCTCCCAAATTTGGCTCTCCCATCCTATGATTATTGTACTCACCCCAACTGAACCTGTTCCAGTTCAATTTCTTGAACGTCTTGTACATTCTCAACTGTCAGACTATCATCACTTCTCTATCTCTGGGAAGACCTCATATAGTGCTCTATAGGAGTGGGTATTTCTATTACTATAGTCTTTCAGGCCATTCAGCTCTTCTTTTCATCATCCTGACATTCTCTCCAAATTATGTCTCTTAAATAGGCACATTTTCACTTCTTCCCAATGTTAATATTGAACATGCACATGTGCATGCATGTGCATAAGTTCAGTAAAACTGAGTTTGATGAACTTTCCTGTTACTTGCCATGCAACTCCGTCTCTGTTCATCAGCTCTTTACCCACTTTCCATTTTTTGAACCAGGGCCTATCTTTTTTAGTTTTACTTGTATGTTCTTATGTTACCCAGGAATTACTGCATCAGTTGCTTGTAAATCAATGTTGATTTGCACTACCATGTTTTTCCTGTCTAGAAAATCAGATATATTAACAAAATTGTTAGCAAGTCTAGGTTAACTGTTACTCTTTTTTTCCATTTGTTCTAGAGTCCTAAATTAAATAATAATGAAATCTTGTCACTGGGTGAAATCATCTCATTAAGTGAGAAACTTGTAAGAACATTAGACACTAGCATTTTTTTTAGATATGGACTACAAGACAAACCACCTCTTTAACTGGAATTCAGACATTTTTGTATGAGGAATTCTACACTCCCACTTGTGGCACAAACCTTTTTTTCTTGTGCATGTTTTGTCACTGCTGAGGGTAAGCCCTTGGATCCTAAATGCTCAGCATTCATCAACAATTTCTACATCATCTGTATTTCTCAGGTTGCTAAACCTTATGTATTCCAACTTCTATACACCTTGCACAAATCCACCTGATTAGATAAAAATGAGTATTCAGAGTCTTGTGACCTTATTCCTGGGAGTATTTTCAGCTTTTTCATTTTTTTGTTCATTTACAGTTTAACTGGAGAATGGATGAGGCAAAGCAGAAAATTTGGAATTGTATTAGGTTTATTATTATATAACAACCTGGATGTAATACAGGCATTACCTGTATTACCTTCACAGGTAAAGAAAAGGTCCTATAAGAGGCTCACCTTTCTTTTTGTTTACAGTTACTTGTTGTCCATTGTTCTGCCTTTCCCCTCATAAATTCTGGACACGCGCAGAAGTCTCCACAGAGGTCTGTGGCAAGAGAAAACATTACCGTAATGGTGGCCACGCACTTTCAGAGATCATGGAACAGAAGCTTTTCCCTGCATGAAGTTACTAGATGTGTGATTGGACCCTAAAGTCCAGCTCACAGGCTAGACAATTCAGTCCTACTTTGTTGACTCCCTTCTGTTCCACAGTAAATCACTGGGATTGCAGTGATGACTTCTGTGGAAGGCAGAGATAATGAAGTGGAAAAAGCTTGGCCAATAATCTTCTCATTAATCTTCCAGCAGATGTTTTTGCTTTTCAACCTGATACTCATCTCCTTGCCTGTCTGCTAAAGAGTTTTATTATGAAGCAGTCTCATTCTACAGTTGTACATGAACACAAAAGAGGGCAGAAGAGATGAATGCCTTTATGCCAATTTTGAGCCCTCTGCATTCTCCCTCTTCAGGATCCTTTGTTGGCCCCACATTGGAAAGTCTTGACGTAAGAGCATCTCCAGAGGATCCGGGTTCACCTGTGGACTCTACTTGCCAGATTTGGGGATTTAACAAGCCCAAGTTTCCATTACAAAGTTAAATCCCCTCTCAAACTACCAGTATTAGAAGTGGTAGGCAAGACCTCAGAAGGCCAAAACAGGGTTATTCTGCAAGATCTAGACTGGCTTGAAGTCAATGAAATTAATCAACTATATGGCCCTGAATATTTTCAACTACACTTAGTATATCATAGGGAAAAATTGAAAAAGGAGGATTTCCTATACTTTCCAAGGAAAGATTTTCCTAGCCAAAGTTCCCAAATGTAGTTGATTAGTATGAAGTAATTAGTATTATTAACATTTATATTTCTGCCAGAAGAGGTGACACCTGTGGTACTTAGAAAAACACATAAAAGGTTTTATGAAAACCTAATTTGTGGAATAAATGAGGGAGAAAGGAGCTTAGCTTTTAATCCTGTAATGAAGGACTCGCTAATGAAAAAGAAATTCCTTTAGAAGGCTTTCCCAGGAAACACCTTGCTTCATAAGATTAATTTGTATAATGTCCCCACCTTTTGGATTTTGAAAGTTCTTTGAAAGTGTTTATCCAGTGTGTGAGTGTCTAAATAAAAAAAAAAAAAAGGAAAAAAGGTACAAAATAGCTAGTTTGATGGAGGGCATCCAATGGAGAAAACAAAACAAAACAAAAAGATATTCCCGTTACAGACCCCATAACAAC